TCCGAAGAGGGTGAGAGGACATGCCAGGCCTGGCTGTGCTGGCAGGAGAAGTGCCCATCACTCTCCCCTGCGTCCCTGGACTGTGGCACCGGCCCTGCTGGCTCACATTCCTGCCTCAGGGGCAGAACGTCTCCACCCTCTTTCTTTTTTTTTTTTTTTTTTTTTGAGTTAGAGTCTCACTCCGTCACCCAGACTGGAGTGCAGTGGCTGCTCCCGGTGATCCTTCCGCCTCAGCCTTCCAAGTAGCTGGAACTGCAGGTGCTCGCTACCACGCCCGGCTAATTTTTTGGATTTGTTGTACAGGTGAGGTCTCGCCAAGTTGCCCAGGTGGGTCTCGAACCCGGCGATCGCTTCCAGTGATCCTTATGCCTCAGCCTTCCAAGTAACTGGAACTACAGGCCCCGCTACCACGCCCGGCTAATTTTTTAATTTATTGTAGAGATGAGGTCTCGCCAAGTTGCCCAGGCGGGTCTCAAACCCGCGGGCTCAGGCAATCCACTCACCTCAGCCTCCCAAAGTGCAGGATTACAGGCTGAGCCACCGAGCCTGGCTTCCACCCTCTTTAAAAGCTCCCGTTCTAGTGCCAGAAAAGCACTGTCCTCTCTGCAAACTCCAGAGAGCTGAGGCCGAGAGAGGTCTACCAGGCAGAAGGCCCCAGAAATGAAAGCTATAGGATACCTGAGATGTCCTCGAGGGTCGTCCACTCCACTCTGTGGTCGCTTTTCTACCAGCTGTGGGACCCCAGGCTGCTGTGACAAAGTGCAGGGATGATGGCAACAGGGAGCGAATCTCCCTCACACCCCAGTGCTCACCCATCAGCGCTGGGAGCCCAGGGGACCTGCCGCCATCCAGCTGTGACCAAGACCCTGACCCATATTCACTACAGGGGCATGCAGGAGTGGGACTAGCTCTCCTGAGCAGGAATGGCAGTAGAGAGCTGTGCCCACACAGGGCAGATGCAGGAAGGGCTGTAGAAGCGCCACGGAGGGACTGAGGGCTTGCCTCCTTGGAGTTGTTTTTTAAAACTACAAGTTGTAGTTTGATGACTCACCAGTAGAACAAACAACAAGCCAGAAAAGACCCCCAGGAACTTTAGCCAATCCTTTCTTACAAGCAAGGAAAAGAGGGCAGGAGAAAGCGGCATGCTTTTCCAGAGCCTTGTGGTGACACAGCTCAGCAACCTGGCAGTCTGCTCAGGCCATGTAGAACATGCAGGCTCAGGGCATAGGAGCTGGCTGTCCTGCCGTCTTGAGTTATTGCGAACATGTCTGCATGCAGCTCTCCAGACTCACAGAGCCCAGGAGAATAGCTGAGTGGGCCACTTCACGTGTTGTGCTCAGAACTGAGCACATGCAGTGGTTCTCACCCTTCCCAGCTCATGAAGTCTGCACAAGGTGTGGCACATGTGATTGTGGAGGTGAGGAGACCTCAGGCCCACCAGTGTGACCAGAGGGCATCTGTGTCCTGGTCCATCCTGGCTCTGAGCCTCAGCCTGAGATCTCCACACTCCTGCACCTCTGGAGCAACCATCAGTCACTCCTGGCCTTGTTTCCTACCCCCTCCCCCCGATTCTGTATTCCTGGCCTGCATCTCCTGGGGCAGCCCACCAGTAGGGATCAGCCACATGCCACCTGCAGTCTAGGCACAGCAAGGCTCCAGGGCCATCGGTGTGAAGCAAGAGCACCAGGAGACACAGCTACCTGAGGAGCTTCTGGAGCCGCCTCCGACTGGGCCCTGGCGATGGCCGCCTCCTGCTCAGGGAGAAAGGTGTGGGTGCGGCTTGACCTCGAGGTCCGGTTTCAGGGTTGTTGACCTCTTGCTTCATAGTCACCCACGGACTACTTCTGGGCACTGTTGTTGTTTTGAGGAGGATATTGCTGGAGATACTACCCCCACTGGTGTTCCCAGGAAACTTTCTGCCTGGCCAGGCAAGAGGCCCTGTGGCCTGGTGTGCCCCTGCCCAGACAGGGCCGGTGGCCTCGGTGTCCAGGAACGGTTGCTCCAGAGATGGGGTTGAGAGGGGCAGGCAGAGATCCCACTCTCAATGTGGCATCTGGGGGACCGAGGTCAGCAGGTGTCAGTGGGGAGCAGGTGGGCTAGGTGGCCTGGAGAAAGCAAAACAAGGTCGCATACCAGGCAAGAAGGCTCAGCTGGAGCTCAGAGGCCAGGCCCCACTAGTGAGCTTGGGCACCCCGCCCCTACCAGGGTCTGGTTCTTGAAGAATCTGCACTGCCTGGGAACCTACCAGGTGCCCAAGAGGCTCTCCCAGGAATCCTCCTCAGATCAAACAGTTGCCTTGAATGACTGTGTGTTTGCCAGACCTGGCCAAAGACTGGCCTTCTGACTGAAGCTGGCCTGGGGTGAGGGTGGCATATGGTCTGATCATGGCTGCTCGGCAGAGTCCCATCCTAGAGACAAGCGAAGGGTCTCAGGGAGGAGTGCAGAGCAGATGACCTCCCCTGCTCAGTAGCAGAAGGAGAAGACTGCTGTCTAAAGAGGTAGGCAGGTCTGCTTGTCCCACAGATAGCCTCAGGGCTCCCACCCTGTGGCCAGGCTACTCTCCTCTCCAGCCTGTGGCCTGGCCCTCTGTCCACGTGTCTCCTCACGCTTACTGTCCCAGGCACCCCAGTCCCCATTCCCAACATTGCTCCTTTCCCTATATTCCTCTGCTTGAAGTGACCTTCCCACCTTGTGCTAACTCTAGACCAGCCCTCGTGGCTTAGAGCAGACAGTGCTCTCCCAGAAAGCCTCCCAGCAGCTCAGCTGACCAGCGTTGGAGTCAGGGACTTGGGCCTGGGCGCCCCTCCCCCACCTCAGCTACAGCCAGCAGGGGCTCATGGCCTGGCCCCTGTGGACCCATAGTGCGTGGCACATTGTGGGTAGGGATGTATGTGGGCCAGGTTAGTGTCCCTAGACCCCCTTTAAATACCTCTGGCACGTCATGGCATTCAATAGACACCACTGCCCCCAGCATAGCCCTTTGGAATCTCCAGCCTAGATTCTGCCCTCCTGCCCCAAGTGTTGGGGCACCTGGAAAGAGCCCCTGCATCTCCCTGGGCAGCTGGGACTATCCTGGTCTCCTCGTCCCCCAGGTTGGTGGAGAGCTAGAGCTGGGGTCTCCCTTAGTTCAAGGCCACCTTGGGGTTTGTGGAGCACCCCCGTCTGCCACCAGGAAAACCTGGAGCCACAGCATTGTCAGGGGTCCTGGCACTCTCCCAGACATTCAACTGGGACCATCAGACTCAGGGGCCTTGAGTGGGGGTATTTGAGCCCTTGGTCTAAGCAGTCGGCATCCAGGTTGTAAACAAGAGGTCACAAGAGAGGGCACCAAGTGCACCTGCTACCGCCCACCCACCATCTGGATGCATCACAGACTCTTTAGGGCCGTGCTCCCTGTCTACCGAGAACATGTGTGTGTGGTAACAAACAGTGCCATGACAGACACTGCATGTCACTACAGAGCATCTCCTCCAGAGAGCAATTTGGTAATCGCTCCTTCAGGGGAGAATTGCTCTTTGCAGTATATTCTGTGGAATTAAGTGAGCCTCTGAGTATCACTCCAGGGTTATCTGTGCTTCACTGGCTCTGATGGCCAAGACGTGCCGTGGCCCCAGTCACTTGTAATTACACGTTTCCAGAGTGAGTGAGACAAAGGCGCGGATGCGAACAGGCTGCCAGCACTCCCAGGCCTGCTGCTCCCTCTTCCTCTCGGGCAGCAGGCTGGACCCAGGGGTGCTTGGACTTGGCACAACCCTAGGCTTTAGGTCAAGTGAAACGTTGCAGAGGTCACGGAGGGGGTTCTGGGGGTGGAAGCCCCAATGAGTCTTTCAGGTCACTTCTTGTGATGGTACAGCTCCTGGCCAGGCCCAGGAGAGAAAGCAGCCATCTGGCTTTTTCTCAGGCCACAGTCAAGTTGCTGTCACCAGTGGCCCAGAGTACTTACTGGACCCTGGAGGGATGTCTGTTTTAGGCATGGTTTTTGCCCTTGAGGATCCTAGGTTACGTGGCAGAGACTCGAGAACTGCATACAGCATCTTCATCAAGGCTGAGGTCACAGAGTGCTCAGTAGGCATGCAGAGAATGTTACCAGTGGGTGCTGAGGCCACACCGGCCAGGTCACAGCACAGGATCTGAGGACACATGTGGTAACCTCGTCCCTGCATTGGAAGCCAGTTTGCTTCCCCTGCCTGCATATCTTCTGCTCACCTGTGCCTTCTGTCCTCTAGAGGTCCCCAGAGACTTGCCAGTGCCTGGCAGACAGGTGGTGCTCAGGAAATGATTTCTAAATGAATGAATGAATTCATTTAGATACTCCTATGTTGGGCGTATGAAACTTGGGATCCTTGGGGTTGAAAATGCTTCTGTGATAATAAAACTGTGCCTAGAAACACTGGAACAGAAATTGGAAAGCAAAGCAAAACCACACAGCCACACCTGAACTGACCCACACTGCAGGTCCTACCTGGCCAGCAGCACCCAGCATCACCCCCGATGAGGCCGTGGGACTGGGGCCTTCCAATGCCTTGCAGCAGAGCCCAGGCTGGGGCTCAGGCAGGTGCCCAGAGGCTGCTCAGAGCCCAAGGCAGGGCCAACATGCGCTTTGTCTTTCGCACAAAATTAATTGGTATTGGGGCACTGTCTTCGTCAGCTCGGTGGCTGCTACTGATTCCTCATGGTTCTCACGTCTGCAGCTCACAATAGCTCCACACAGGATGTAATTAAATCCTCTGAACAGCACTTTGGGACATTTGATTGTATAGAAAAACTCCATAGAAATGCGAGCTGTCGTATGCAGCTGGTTCACCCTGTGGTCTCTGACAGTGCTCACTGTGGTGTGACAGTCACCTGGAAGGGAAGGGGGGTATGCCAGGAGGGAGACTGACTGGGGTCTGCTGTGGAGCCTCACCCGCCTTCCCATGGGGGGCCCAGCTGGGAGTGACGGGAGTGAGCCTTCGCCTGCCCTGTGGCCCCGATCCAGCCCTCGGTCTTTTCCTCCCCAGGAGCTGTCAGAGCATGACGAGCCTGTTCAGTTACACCATGTCGCCGACCCAGGATGGGACCTCGTCACTTCCCAGAAGGCAGAGCTCGTTCGCCAAGCCCCCGCTCCGTGCCCTATATGACCTGCTCATCGCTCCCATGGAAGGGGTAAGTGTCCCAGGGTCGTGAGCTCCTTGGTGTCAGAATACAGCATTTACCAGTCAGTGCCATGTGGATGCCCCGTACATACAAAAATGGGCTCCCAAGACTATCAGGGGCTTTCTAAAGCACGAATCTCTGTCCAGCTTCTCAGTCAGCACTGGAAAGCTAAAGTGCGTGAATTTCACATATGTAAGAAACCACATCTTGACAGCGATTCCCTCGGCCCTTTCCCTACCTGGCCTTCCCGGGACTCATCTCACCTTGCCTCCATGTACTTGGTGGGTTGCTAGTTGGTGGGTGAAGCCTTGTACTTCAAGTTGGCAGACCTAGGTTCAAGTCCTAGGTCTGCTCCCTCCAAGGGAACACCTCACATACACAATGAAGTGATACTCCCTTCCCAGCCTGCCCGGCAGGATGATCATGAGGCTCAGGAGGTCAGGGCTGTAGACCTGCAGGAGTTGTTGGTAAGATCATGCCTCGGTGCAGGCATCAGCCTTCCAAGGCCGGCTGCCTTCCTCAATCTGATGCCACAGGGATGTGGCCATGGCTCTGCTGTTCCCAGAGGGCTTTTTCAACCCTACCCTGCTGGGCATGGCTGAAGGCTCGAGATCTTCCCGAGTCCCAGAGGTGGACCAATCAGATCCTTGGTGTAGACTTCAGGGAAACCCCGGGAACCAGCAGCAGATGGGGAGGTCAACACTCACATCCCAGCCAGGCCGTGTAGCCCTCTTTGGCGCTGTCTGCAGCCAGGTGGGAGATCTATCCCGTAGTTGTTGGAGCTACCCCTTGGCAGCTCTCTCTTCACTCCAGCTGACAGAAGCAACATGTGTCCTCAGGAAACCACAACTTGACAGTGATTCCTTTGTGCCCAGAACATGCCTGTCCCTTTCCCTGCCTGGCCTTCCTGGGGCACATCTTGGTTTGTCTGATGTGTGTAGGAAGGCCACATGCCCACCAATGCCCTCTGGGTGGCCTGGCTGGGGAGATGAGGAGGGAGTGGTGGGAATATACATCCTTTCTCAGGGAGCTGGCAGGGCTGGACCTGGTGGCTGCCCTCTCCTGGCTGGGTGACTTTGGCCATGCTGCGTCTCCTTCTGGAGTATCTGCTTCCTCGTTAGAAAGTGAGGGTGACACCACCCAGTGTGTCAGGTTAGAGCAAGCTGGATAAACGTGCAAAGCACCCGAAGCAGCAGCAAGTGTGCACCTGGTGAGTGGTGGCTGCTGTGCTGCCCCCCAAGCCTCCCCCATGCCCCAGGGCCTCCTGGACACAGTCACATCACCTCAGAGGCCCAGCCCAGCCCTCCCCACAATGCCAGTTCCTGCACACACATGGCTGGCCTTCCTTTCTCAAGATTGTCATCCTCTCCCCCATCCTCCTCCTAACGGAGTGACCACACCTGCAGCGGCTCTCCAGCTGCCATAATGACTTGCCCTGATTAATGTGCCCTGTCCTGGCGGAAGAAACATGTACCCATGCAGACCATTTTGGTGACTTCCTGCCTGTGTCCTCCTGCTAGCCCTGAGCCCAGTGCTTCCTGGGACCCTCCATTCTCCACCCACTTGGGCCTTCTAAGCACCCTGATGACTTGCTCCATTATTGTCGACTCGGCCGGGGGAGCCTGCGAGGGAGCAGAGGACAAAGTCAGAGACTGGCCATGACTGTCAGGTCACGGTAATGCTCAGGTCTCTGCAGCTGGTGGACTCCTCTCACCAGTCATGCTCAGCTCAAGTGTCCCCTTCTCGAGGAGGCCTTCCTTGCCTCCTCCCCTTACCCTCCTTGAGCCCTTCGTCCCCCTCTCCACCACTCAGTTCCTTACGTATCTTAGGATACCTGATCCTGTCAGCTCTTCATATCTGTGGGTTCCGTGTCTGCAGATTCAAGCAACCATTGATGGAAATTTTTTAAAAATCAAATTCCACAAAGTTCCAAAAAACAAAACTCAGATTTGCCACATGCTGAGCACTATGTTGAATTCACAAGAATGAAGTGATGTGGGGGCATTGTGCAAGGTAGTATATGTGACCTCGAGATGACTTAAAATTCACGGGAGGATGTGCAAAGCTTATGTCAAGCATACCCCATTTTCTGTCAGAGACTTTAGCAGCTGAAGATTTTGGTACCTGAGGGCGTCCTGGAACAGGTCCCCACAGATCCCAGATCCCAAGGGACGGCAGTGCTGGACTAGACCCAGCACCCAACTCTTTGCCTGTCTCTCATTCTCCACCTTGCTGTCCACCCCACGTCCCCTGAAGGCAGGGCCTGTCCCTCAACTGTGTCCTCAGCAGCTGGCACAGGGCTTGGTGCACATTGGTACCAGTAGGGTTTATGGGATGGTAGGGGTCTGAAACAGAATGTGCATGTTGGGTCTCATCTGGCATAGAAGGCAGAAGACCCAGGAAAGAAGTCAGTGAACAGGCTCTTCATGGCCACTCTGGGCGAAACCTGGGGGCTTTCTGAGAGGAAAGAAGACTGGCCTGCTCTCAAAGACTCTGGGTCTCTGAGTACACCTCCCCCCTGCCCACCAGATGGTCATTTCAGGTAGAGGGGCCAGTCGACAAGCCTGCAGGGTCCCACGCTGAGCACTGTTTCACTGGACAGCGTGTCCACACTGAGCCAGATGAAGGCGGTGGCTGTTGTGAGAGGTCTGTACTGAGGCAGAAATCCACTTCCAGAGACCCAGAGGGGGGCTAAGGACGGAAGCAGCCTTGCCTTGGTCCATCGCAGTGCCTTCCCAGGAGAGAAGCTGCCATGGTGCCGTGGGTCACCCTGGAAAGGGATCTGTGCATTTATAAAGTCTGCACCATGTTTTTTAGTTTTTTTTAGAGTTTTTTAGAGTTTTTTAGTGTTTCTCCCTGAGGACTTAGAGAAGAAAAATGTGCTATGGGGAATAGTGGTGACGTGTGTCTGAACTACCTGATTTTCCTCCAGAGGTGCTAGGAAAGGGGAAGATTTATGGACCCAAGCCTGAAACAAGTTGGGAAATTATTAGAGCAATGTCTTTATAAATGAGGGAAAGGAAAAGGCCCTACCACCAGGTATGTGGTGGCTTCTTAAAGGCTGCCAGAAGGTTGGGCTCGGTGGCTCGGCCTGTAATCCACTTTGGGAGTCTAAGACGAGTGGATTGCCTGAGCTCACAGGTTCGAGACCAGCCCGGGCAATTTGGCGAGACCTCATCTCTACAATAAACTAGCCAGGCATGGTAGTGCACGCCTGTAGTTCTGGATGCTTGGAAGGCTGAGGCGGAAGGATCACCGGAGCCCAGCAGGTTGACGCTGGGGTGGCTGTGAGTGTGCCACTGCACTCTAGCCTGGGTGACGGAGGGAGAGTCCAACTCAAAAAAAAAAAAAAAAGGCTGCCAGTGGCACCATCTGCATCTGCTCAGGAGCTGTTGCTGGGAGGATGTGATGGCCCCTGCACCTGCCCTCAGGCTGCAGCCTTATGTGAGGCATTTAGAGTGAAAGCCATCCTGGGTTCCTGACATTTCAAAATATCTTGTGAATCAGGTGTTTGAACATAGGGCAAGAGTTTGGCATCTTCAAATGAGAACAGAGCAAAATCTTTTTAAAGCTATTAGAGTAAATCATCAGAGTGAGAGCGATTCCTTGGCTAATAAAAATGATCCATTGTGTTCCTATAAAAACACTTAACTGAACACTTGGAATCTAATTAGGAGTCCTCTCCATCCCATTTGATCTATTCATTCAGCAAACATGTACTGACATGTGCCAGGCACACGCCATCCCGGCCTGGGAGGAGACAGCTGAGAGGCTGGGCCGGGATCTGTGCCCATGTCTGACCACTCACAGACTGCGCCAAGGTGGGCAGGCAGGCCAGCACCAGAGGCCAGTAGGTCATGCTGAGTTGTGAAAGGTTAAGGGGGGTAACCCTGTAGCCCCCTCCTCCCAGGAGCTCTAGTCACTCCTCACCCCTGCGGCCCAGGTAGAGGGGCCCTGAATCGTCCTCCTCCTGCTGAGAAACTGCATGCACACCCATGCTGCCCCCCGCAGCCACTAGAGGGCGGCATGACACCGTCAGCCCGCTGTGGAGCCCAGCCACCGGCAGCTGCCAGACAGAGCCAGACCCCACCACAGTTTCAGTGAGAATACAAATCAAAGCCGAAAGTCCGAGATTATGAACCACTGACACTTCAAGACTAAAACGATTAGCCTCTTCACGTGGGGCATGTAATTATTTGAACAACTGCCTTTGTTTAGCCTCAGTCCCGTTGCTTAGGGACTAGGTCAGGGGGTATGAAAAGTGGAACAGAATAATATTTGACCGTAGGCCTTGCACCAGTTTTTGATTTATTTTGGCTTAAGGGAAACACTGTCATGGCTCTTTCTTGGAAACATGCTGTCCTTTGCTGTCAGGACAGGGAGAGCATGTCCACTTATCTCTGAGGAAGCCCCTGTTACATTTGCATATAAGCCATCATGAAACATCAACTCAAATCCTGTCTGATACCCAAAGGAGAAAATGTCACCAAAGAAAAGTTGCAAGTGTTTAGTGTGAAAGACTAGGCTGTGTATGTGTCTGTGGCATTCATTTTTAATCAAATAAGAGCAACCTGAGCCTCTGACCTGAACTTCCCCACTTGTCATGAAAGGACAGGTCCTAGACCAGCTCCATCCCCACACCCAAATGCATGAGGCCACCTCAGCGCTCTGCTCCAGAGTACTCCCCTCAGCAGCACCAAGTGGCAAGGCCTGCAGTGTTGCTGGAGGCCGTGGCTCCTTGGTCTGCTCAGATCCCAGGTCGCCCTCAGTTTGCATATGGAGCTGTCATCCAACCAGAAGCTGCTGTAGCAACCAGACTTGAAGTAGGAAATCCCCTGGGTTTAGTCAAGTTGCTCCTTACAGGTCCAGGTTTGGAGACCTTTCTGAATCCTTGGAGTTTGGACTAGATCTAGTTACCCTTATCTCTGTCGCTCTTATCTCTGTTTCCCTTTATTTAGGTTCCCTTATGTTTAAAGTCTTGAAAGCCAAGGTTATAGAACTAGTTGCAA